GCGCTCGGTATCGCTCAACCAAAAGGAGTATTGTTGTATGGACCTCCAGGAACTGGAAAGACATTATTGGCTAGAGCTGTAGCTCATCATACTGAGTGCACCTTCATCCGCGTATCAGGTTCAGAACTTGTGCAAAAGTTCATTGGCGAAGGAGCAAGGATGGTAGGTTTAAGCAAGCCAACAGTCATGTCTAAGTCTCTCTTTTCGAATTATGCGTGAATTTTGTGGTTGATGATCATGACTACAACAGCATCAGTTCTGCAACAATGCAAATATAATGGAAAATTGAAGGTTCGTGAGCTGTTCGTGATGGCTAGAGAGCATGCCCCTTCAATCATTTTTATGGACGAGATTGACTCTATCGGCTCAAGTCGCGTGGAAGGATCGAGGTATCGGTGCCATTAGTAATAGAAATAGAAAGCTGTATCTGGTTAGAATATGTTGCATGAGTTCAAATCACTCGTATGACTTAACCATCAGAATTTGTAATACAACGAAGGACAAACGAGATTCACATGCTCTAAAATCACTATTATTATTATCAAAATTGCTTCGTAATTTTGGTGTGTTTAGTGGCGGTGACTCGGAAGTGCAGCGCACTATGTTGGAGTTGTTGAACCAGTTAGATGGATTCGAAGCGACAAAGAACATCAAGGTGTTTTCTGTTTCTGCTTTTTTCTCCCAATAACGGCATTTCTACTAAAACCTATCGTAATACAAGGAAATAAATTCATTATCTTAAGGTTATCATGGCCACCAACAGAATTGACATTCTTGACCCTGCTTTACTACGGCCTGGTAGAATTGATAGAAAGGTTTACTTATTCTTTTCACTATCATCCTAGTGACTACCCCAAGAAGGTGATTTCAGATTGAGTTTCCTGCCCCTGATGAGAAGGCACGCGCTGATATCCTCAAAATCCATTCGCGTAAGATGAATTTAATGCGTGGAATCAATATGAGGAAAATCGCTGAGGCGATTCCCGGCGCTAGTGGAGCGGAAGTAAAGGTGTGGTTCTGTGGTTTTTACAATGAGCATAACTTTCTGAAATTGTCTCTCCATCTTCAAGGAATAACTTTCAGGCAGTTTGTACAGAAGCAGGTATGTTTGCTCTCCGCGAACGGCGTATTCATGTAACACAAGAAGATTTTGAAATGGCTGTCGGGAAGGTGAGATCAATGCAAATTTTTCTTCAATTTTTTAGAGGCTTCGTAATAAGAAGAGGGCGCGTTTTTCCATGAGCTAGGTCTCAGTAGGAAACTCTATAAACACATGTGTAATCCTGCTTTTCCTTACAAAACTGATTATTAAGAGAAGAGTTGTAGAACCCGCATGAGATTAGGATTGTCTATCGTGCGGGAATCAGTCACCCATTTTTTATGCTTGTTTGTCATGTGAATCCTCATATAATTAGCCAATTTCAGCATAGGAACTTCATTTGAAGAACATTAAGTGAATTAGTTTTACCGTAATAATGATTGTTTAGTGCGACTTTTTTTCCCACCCCTCGTTAGTTTGCTATTAACCACTAACTTAATTGAAACATTAGTCTTGTGTCACAAGTAATGTGAGCAGACACTATTTTAGTGGCTTTCAAAGTCTAAGAAAAGGCTAGTCGTAAAGTCTTACAGCTTTAAGCCCTCTGATATCATTTCTTGAACATTTCTCTCCTAGTAAAGCTTGTCTGGCATTAACTCGGTCGATGTAATATCTTTGCGTTACAGTCTTTTCCCGTACTTCTTTTCTTAAGACTCATTCATTGAGCTCTCTGGTGTTGACCAGGAAGAAAAACGCGCGTTAAAATCTTCACCGAATAGAATTTGAGAAAGAGGTGGAGTTTGGAAAGTCCTTTCATAAAAAGAAATTTGCAGGGGATGAGAAAGAATAGAGGGAAGCACTATTTACTGATTCTTGTATCCATAATAGTTTGAACAGTAAGCATTCAGAAATTTGCCATTTACTT